AAAAAAAAACCCAATTCATATCTAGATGTCGGAGATATTTATCACTGCAGTTACTTTAATATGATGTGCAAGAGAGATGGAAGGTTAGAAAAAATTGAGATGGGCTTGAAAGGGCAAGCTGACATCTGTAGTTCTTATTCTTTGATCTTTGCCTCCAGTCTTTGATGTTATAACAATTATCAAATAGCAGTTTGATAATGGTGAGTACTGTAATTGGGGAACCTTGTAATTTTGCAATGGTGAACATTCAGTATAGCATTAAAGTGATTTTCAGCAGAGTGCCCTGATTAGGCCAGGCTATTTTCATTTAGCATCACATTATTTTCTGTTTATTATCAGGTATAATCAAGACAATGAACTTATATAGGCTGGAATAGCACAACTGTCCATACGCTATGGCTGTGTCAGTGGGTGGACTGAGCTGAAGCACGGCCTCCGTGTTCATACTGGTTATTTTCATGACTGATTGTCAAGTATGCGGCTGGACTGACAATGTAACCAGTCACTCCAATCTGTTGTGCAATAGTTACTTTGTACTTCTGAATTTAACCCCTATGGATCAAAAGTATTGCCAAGGTAAAGCTTTGTCTAAAAATATAAGTTTTATAGGTTATCCATTTTGCTATCACTTTTTACTTCTGTCCTTGTTACTCTATTGCCTAAGCTATAAATCAAGATTCTCACAATTACCACTAAATCTATCCCATATGACCATGGCTATAATAAAAACAGATACTATTCTATATGAGGGATAGATGTGTTTTTTTAAGGGTTTCATGTAAAGATTTCAAATCCAATTTTTCCACTGCTTCCATTAACAAACAGACAGATGTATCCACAGAAAATTTGTTAGCCCCAAGGAATAATAAAATCACTCTTAAGGAAGCAGTGGATCCTTTACAGTAACCATTTTAAAGGAAAATATCATTATGAATATATCCCTGGGAAAATAAAACAACTCTTCCATATTACTACTAAAGAATTCTTTTATAGACAGAAGTTTCAAAGGCTGCCCATAAGCTATAGAATAAAATCTAAATTTTTAGTATGATATCCTTGTATTAACTTACCAACTTCCTCTGCACTATTCTTCCCCAAGAGATCTCTGCTCAAGTCTTATGTTTTTCTTGCCAGTCTCTGAAGATATGCTGTGATCTTGCTTCAGGACCTTTGCATTCAAACTTCCCTCGCTCTATGCTTAGCAAGCTTCTATTCACTTTTTCCTCCCCTTACTGCTATTTTTGTGCTTACTCGACAACTTATGTCTATTACATTATTTAATTCTCACGAATAATCATATATGTGCCCATGGATTTAGTTGCACAGGTTCATTGTAACAATAATAAGAAGAAAGAAAAACTGGAAAAAATCAGCACCTAACAATAAAATATTGATTAAATAAATATGATACATCTATATAATGGGATACAATGCATCCATGAAAATGATTTTATAGAATAGTTAATATTATGAGGAGATATTGACAATGTACTATAATTTTAAAAAGCAGATTATAAAATTCTATATATAAATAATCCTATTTTTAAGTATATAAATGCATAAAGGAATGAAAAGATATATGCTTAAAAAGAATATTAAACTACTTTAACATTGTCTTTTAGATGGCAGAATACCTGATAGTCTTTGTTTTTCCATAATACTATTATTACTTTCATAGAGAGAATTAGTAATTATTTTAAAAGTCATCCATCTGTTTAGATGGCTATTTCATCTAGGTGGATTACAGGCTCCTTTATATTATAGCAGTAATTAATATATTATATTTATTTTTGTATATAAGGAATCTACCATAGTGGCTGGTATAGAATAATCACTTAAATATTTGATAGATGACCAGTAGTATGGTGTTTGTCACTGCCAGTTTGTTGATTAAAACTCTTTACATGTATGTGTAACTCCTTTTTTCATTTCATCAGTGAACTATACATTCTTTTACACATAAGGCAAATTCATAATTTGTTAACTTCTAGGAACTATTATATTTTGCTGCTTTAGACTTTGGTGAACCGCAGAGGTGGTTCTTATAGAGAAAAACTCGTATTTTTCAGGAATCAACTTTTGCTCCATAACAAACCACCCAAAATTTAGGAGCTTAAAATAACTACTATTTCTCATGGTTTTATGGGTTGGCTAGGATTTCTGGCCTGGGCAGACTTTAGCTAGGGTCATTTGGTAGTTTGATGGGGCTGAAAGTTGTAGAATGCTCTCACTACATGTCTGGTAGTGGGCTAGATGTCAGCTGGGGCACCAGGGCTGACTTGACCACAAGCCTAACATCCAGCATCAAGCTAGGCTTTATCACACTATAGTGGTCATAGGGTTCCTAAGAGCAGCAAGAGAGCAGCCCTAATGCATAAGCATTTTCAAGGCCCTGCTTGCTTCTTGTGTGTATGTCTCATTGGCCAAAGCAAGAGACATGGCCAAGCCTAATTTCAAGGACTGGAGAAAGAGACTCCACCTCTTAATGGAAGGAGCTGTAAAGTCACGTTGCAAAATGATGTATATATAAGGATGGGAAGAATTCATTGCCAGTTTTGCAATCTATTGCAATTTATAATAGTGACATTATTGGAATGATGGAAGATATTCTAGATATATTAAATACATATTTCAGATTTGAATAAATATTATAGCTTTTGATTAAAAAAAGAATAGAATGTTTACCCATAGTTTACCTTAGTTGCTCAATACATGTGATTATTATTATTTTTTTAATATATATATTTTTTAAAGATTTTATTTATTTATTTGAGACAGAATGAGAGAGAGAGAGAGCTTATGAGAGAGGGGAGGGTCAGAGGGAGAAGCAGGCTCCCCGCTGAGCAGGGAGCCCGATGCGGGACTCGATCCCGGGACTCCAGGATCATGACCCGAGCCGAAGGCAGTCGCTTAACTGACTGAGCCACCCAGGCGCCCCAATACATGTGATTATTATGTACTGAAGGAAATTCATCCCCAGAGCATGAAACAATACTGTGAGTCAGTAGTCAGTGACTGAAATGTAAGCTTCAAAGTAGGGAATGGTAAGTGAGAACGTTGAAATATAAACTAAAGCAAGATGACAAAGGGCTTTGATGCCAAAGTTAAGGAGCTTAGATTTTATCCTATAAACAGTATAGAACCTGGGAGGATGTTAGGCAGAAGAATGGTGGTCAGATCGACTTTTGAAAAACTTAATCTGAGGTGATATGAAAGGTGAATTGTAAGGGGAGTAATTAGAAAGCTGCTGGAATTTCCAGGCCAAAGTAGAAAAGGGTCTGATCTTGGGGAATAGTATACAGTTGGAGAAATTGTTAGGAAGCGTAAAATCGCAAGTTTTTGTTTGTTTGCATTTTTTTTTTTTTTTTTTTAGACTGGCGGTGGGGATAAAGGTGAGGGAGATGTAAAGAAATAACTCTTGGATTTTTACTTTGCATTTCTGGGAGGCATGTTATTCCACCAACGGAAATGAACAGAGGGATGGAAGAGGAGATGAGTTTTATTGTGGAGTATTGAGTTTTATTTAAAAAAATTTTTTTTGAAGTTTTATTTACTTAAGAAATCTCTATGCCCAACATTGGGCTCAAACTCACAACCCTGAGATCAAGAGTCACATGGTCTTCTGACTGAGCCAGCCAGCCAGCCCTAGTTTTAAATTCTTGTGGGGCATTCAGGAGAACTTTAGTAGGCAATGTGAGTCTACAGCTCATGATCCTGAGATCATGACCTGAATGTCTAGACTTGAATTATAGATTAAGGCAGTGATGTGCTGATATATGTTTAACAAGCAGCTCTGGGGTGAATGGGAGTCTTGATTTCCAGCATTTGCCAATTTCCGTCATGTAATACTCCCACCGTAGCCAATTTTGAGCAATCAATGTGATATCACTGACCATGGAGCTGGGAAGAAATTGGTATAAGCCCCTATTGTAAGCTGTTGGGAGTGGGCTCCAGAACACCATTGGTAACCAATATATTTTGGGTCCAAGTATTTTATCTAAAATAAATCTAATTCTCAAAAATCCCAGCAAAAAAAGGTATTCTTTTTTTAATGAATACATGGCTACTAATGTTAAAGCTGGATTCAAACCCAGCTCAGTCTAGCTCCAAAAACCATGCTTCAGAGTTAGTCCATGCATTTTTGGTAGTAAATCATCTAATTATCTTAATTGTCTCTTTTTTTTTTTTCTGCTTAGGAAACCACACAAATTCTGTAGTTGCACTTTATGTTGAAAAGTTATTGTGGAGGAAGTACATACTATATTGGAAATAAGGATAAACGTTTCTGAACAGAATGTCAGTTTCTGGCTAAGGCCCTGATTACTTCTATCAAACATATATATTAGAGATATTAACATATTACTCTATGTCTGCCTATATTCTTAGGTTGGGTTCTCCCTTGAAGCAAAGCCTGAGAGTGATTTCTTTTTTTTTTTAAAGATTGATTTTATTTATTTATTTATTTATTTATTTATTTTATTTATTTATTTGACAGAGAGAGAGAGACAACTAGAGAGGGAACACAAGCAGGGGGAGTGGGAGAGGGAGAAGCAGGCTCCCGACCGAGCAGGGAGCCCGATGCGGGGCTCGATCCCAGGACCCTGGGATCCTGACCTGAGCCGAAGGCAGACGCTTAACGACTGAGCCACCCAGGCGCCCCCTGAGAGTGATTTCTTGAAAAAGTGTTTTATTGAGAAAGTTCTTTCTAGGAAAGGCGTGACAGAAGGATTTATGTGTGGTAGTCAAACAATGTTAGTGCTTTTCTTCTTCCAGAAACTATATGTTGAATATGGGTTTTGAACGAGAGAGAAAGAAAATAAAGAGCCTGTTTCCAATTACTTTAGGATTATATAACAATGAGAATCTCTGAATCTGCACAATTTCTGTCCTGAACATTAGTATTGCTATAAATTTTTGTCACTGTGCAAAAATTTTGGAAAGCAAGCCTTATTCTTGGTAAATTGAAAGGTATTAATCAATTTTTATTTCTCCTATTTCAGAAAGCTATTTGAGGGAAAAGGACACCATTGGTAAGTGTTTTCTTTTCCTCTGACTGAATTTTTCTATGCCCTTTTCACGGTCTTAAATTGAGAAAAACTGGCTCACCTGACTAGGGTCCCTATAGAAAGCCACTAATCTTCAGCTGCTTAGTAAACGCTGCAGATTAGGAGGTTTAGCTAAAAGACTGTAGAACAAAAAATGCAAAGCTGTATTTGCCTTATAGTTGGGTCAAGACTAGACAGAAATGTGAAAAAGACAATGTTTTTCTTTGGTGTTCCTGACCTCTCCTTTCACACCCCCTTTTCCATCCTTTTTTTTTTTTTTTTTTTTTTAAGATTTTATTTGTTTATTTGAGAGAGCGCATGAATGGAGGGGAGGAGGCAGAGGGAGAAGGAGAAGCAGACTCCCCACTGAGCAGGAAGCCTGATGATGAGGGGCTTGATCCCAGGACCCTGGGATCATGACCTGAGCTAAAGGCAGACACTTAACTGCCTGAGCCACCCAGGCGCCTCTTGAGTAATAGTATAATAGTATTCCCATTTCTTTTTGTGGAATTACCTTTCAGCTATTAAGTGAATACTTGATGAGACTATAAATCAAGGTACTGAGGAGTAGGCAGACAACACAAGAGTCAGTCTGACTCTTTCTTCCTGGTTCTTTGACTCTTTAATGGAATAATTCAAGGATGTGGGGAAAACAATCGTTGGCTCCTCTTGTTCTACGAAATCTCTCTGCCAAAACAATTGAACAGTGCCTATTCCTGAGACCACTACAGCTTCCTGGTTTTTGTCCTTTCTCATCTTGCCACTTCAGGCTTTTGCTTCCCCTCTGTGAGAACTTCATTGTCTTCCAACACATTCTTGCTTAGGTTAGCCAGGGAGGCTTCTATTGCTTACAACCAAGACTCACATCTGACTCAAGGTGTGAAGAGACATGATGGCTCTCTGTGAACTACTTAGCATCTCTGGGTTTTGTTTTTGTTTTTTTTTTCATGTGTGAAAAGGAAGTGGTCAGACTGCATGGTTTCTAATTTCCCCTCCAACTCTAAAAAGACATAAATATATAAAGCTAGCTCTCCTTAGAAGTCTTTAGTAATTCTGAGCATTTGCCCATTCCTAGGTGAATAGGTTGGGGGCTAAAGCACTTTCCCATTAACTATGACTTCTAATTTGGTTTCTTAGCGTGACTTCAGCCTCTAGACCTTGGAGTCCGTTTAAGGTCATTTAAGTAGAGGCCGCATCTGTGGTATCTGAATTATCTGGCTAAGCATCCTAAACTCACTGGATATTTGCCAACCATATGCCAGATCAGGGTCTGTCAGAATGGCCTCATTTTAAAAGACTATTTAAATGCAAGAGAAATTACATTTGAGAGAAAGGAAAACATGGGTAAAGAGCCCAAGGAACTGGCACAGCTGGGTATCATTAGCAATAATCAAACCTTACCCAGTACAAAAAGCAACAGGAAGTGAGATGGGGCACTGTATGTATGTATGTGTTGGCATGAGTATGTATGTATTTGTGTGTATGTTTATAGGTGTGTATGTGTCTTTGTAAGAGAGTAAGTGTGTAACTTTTTTTTTTAAATTTGTTTGCCCACTTTTCCCACTCACTTCTAACTTGAATCTCTGTACTGTATCCCAGTGCGAGTACTTGATGTGTTGAAATCATCTTAGAATTTCAGTCTTTGAGGCAGTGACTTTGATGCTACAGACCCAGAGGAGGGTTAAATAATTACTTTATTAACCGGGGGAAAAAGTGCAAATACTAAACAGTAGCTGGAGAATCTAAGATGTTTGAAGAACAGATCCATGAAAGATCCTATCCTTTTTCTCCAGTTATTACATATTTAATAATGATTAATCTTCTAATTATAAAATAATACCTTTATTTAGAAAATAATAACTTGAAAAATGAAGTATATATAAAGGAGCAAATAAATATTACCTATACTCCTACCACCCAGAGGTATCCATTATTAATATTTTGGTATGTATCTTTTCATTTGCAGAAGGTGGTCTTTAATGCAATAATCCAAATTTGGGATTTACTGAGCCTAGTTTGGAAATTCTTCTAATTCTGAACATGTGTTTGGTCACCAATTTGCTAAATAGGAACAAGACAAGAGTTCCCTTAGCAACTCTTAATTTTTTACAAATAGACTTTTAAAAATAACTGTCCTGCAGATTTTCTTTTTGAAGCCTGTAAGTATTTTACTTTTGCTCCTCCCCAGCCCCCCTCCCTTTAACTCACTCTACTATACCATCCTCTGCTCTCTTCAAGTGTAAGCCAAAAGTCCTCACAACTACACAAATCCATATTACATATCTAAGTAGGAAGAGATAGTCAATAATAATAATTGAACACATGTGGCAGGTACCACACCTAAGGCTTTTTATGTGTCATCTCATTTAATCCTCACAAAGCCTTATGGTAAAGATACTACTAATATGTTTATTTTACTGGTAAGGAAACTAAATATCAGAGACATTACGTGACTTCCTCAAGATGGCCATAAGCTAGTTACTGGTGAAGCCAACATTTCAGCTCAGGTTTATCTGATCTCAAAGCCACTATGATACTGCAGCATTTGAGACCAAAGAAAAGGCATGCCTAGCCAAAATTGTGAAGACATTAAGTCCATGTTTAGTGCTCTCAATGCCCAGCCAGTAGGAGGCTTTTTTGCAAATAGTGTATGATAAGAGGAAAAGTATCCATGAAAGGCTTTCTCTATTAAGGTAAGTGGGATGGTTTGAACATTATGAGGTTCATAGGAAATATTGACCTCTAGAACATTAAAGCTGGCATTTAGAGCTATGCTAAGTATAGTATGATCTAATTAATTCCTTCAATTTACAGATAAAAAACTGAGTCCTGGAGAGGTGAGGTTACAATTTCTTGGCGTAATAGAGTATGGCTAGAATCTGGGTCTCTTGATTCTCTCAACCTAGAGCTTTGTGATCACACCAAGTCCTCTTTGTTTCATAATATATTTGAATCTGATGAAACAAAATGGCTTTATTTATTTTTTTCTTCCAAGATTTTATTTTAATTCAAGTTAGTTAACATATAGTGTAGTATCAGTTTCAGGAGTAGAATTTAGTGATTCATCACTTACATATAACACCCAGTGCTCATCACAACAAGTGCCCTCCTCACCCATTTAGCCCATCCTCCCACCCACCTCCTCTCCAATAACCCTCAGTTTGTTCTCTTAACTGTAGAGTCTCTTATGGTTTGCCTCCTGCTCTGTTTTTATCTTATTTTATTTTTCCTTCCCTTCTCCTATATTCATCTGTTTTATTTCTTAAATTCCACATATAAGTGAGATCATATGGTATTTGTCTTTCTCTGACTTATTTCACTTAGCATAATACACTCTAGCTCCATCCACATCATTGCAATTGGGGCAATATTTCATTCTTTTTGATGGCTGAGTAATATTCCATTGTATCTATGTAGTACATCTTCTTTATCCATTCATCAGTCAATGGATATTTGGGCTCTTTCCACAATTTGGCTGTTATTGATAGTGCTGCTATAAACATTGAGGTGCATATACCCCTTCAAATCAGTATTTTTGTATCCTTTGGATAAATACCTGGTAGTGCAATTGCTGGGCCATAGGGTAGTTCTATTTTTAACTTTTTAAAGGAAATTCCATACTGTTTTCCAGAGTGGCTGCACCAGGAAACAAAATGATTTTAAATGGACTTTAGAAGATAGTACTTTTCCATTTGCTAGATGAAATTCTCTAGGTTCAATTTTTTTAGGCCAAGACCACATAATGACTAATACTTACTTTCAAGGTTTTGTATCGTTCTGATATTTTTTCAACAGAAGCACATGAGATTCAACCAATTCATATCACTAAGTTTTAAAATTCCCATGTGAAACTTCTTCTGCACCATCTGTCCTATGTGTCATTTTAATTTATATGGAACCATTTAAGGCAGAAGTTGTGCCTGAAATGGTTTCATATTACAATGTGTATTCTTTTTTCTCTCTTTAGCTCTTTGTTTTAATTGTTTAAATGGAAAAATATGTTAAAAACAAAGAGTAACTAAATGAAACTACACTGTAAAACACAGTCCCTTCATGTAGTTTAATCAAACAGTGTAGAAAATAAAAGGATAAATTGATGTGTATAGATTTACATCTGTTTGAATTCCTATGACTTAATCTCAAATATACTTATGTTAGCTCATTCTGAAGTTTTCCATCATGAATTCAGTGCTTTTCTTCAACCCAGAACTCAAGGCCTTATTTAAGCCACTTTACCTTCAGTTTTGAAGGTATTTGTCTTTCCCATTGGTTTTGACCTTAAGCTCGATCTTCGGCCTGAGTTTGACTACTTGAAACAATTAAGATGCAGAAATAATAAGAACCTCTCTCATTAGGATAGAAATGATGAGAACAGAATGTCCATTTAGTTTTATTCTGATAAAGTGAGCTGGAATTCCCAGAAGATTGAATAAGAATAGATAATGAGGGCAGGCGTTATCAGATTAGTAGACTTATGAAGTAATTCTGTGGATGTCATTTGACTAAGTATGTTTTGGAAAACTAGGCTCTGTCAGCACCACACCCAGGACATTTATTATAGTATGCATTTCATATAAGCATATATATATTTTCTATATTGATGTCTTTTTTTTTTTTTGAGTTTGCTAAAATCTTGGGTGTGTTAAACGAAATGCAGAGAAGAAAGATATCTAAATGCTGGGTGACAAATGAGAGTGATAGATGCCTATAATTTATACATCTAGGAATCTAATCTGTCATCCTTGAGAAGAAAAGCATAGTATATGATTAAGGAGTGAGCTACCTTGATAATCTCTTGCATTTAAGAATGCTTGTAAGTTAAACAATTTCATTTATATTTAGGTATTTATGGACATTTGTACATCTTTTAAAATTGAAATATATTTGACGTATAATATTATGTAAATGTAAGGTATTCAAATGTTAATTTGATACATTAATATATTATTATATGATTGCCACTATAGCAAAAATTAGCACCTCTA